GGGTTGTGAGGGATGTGTGTAGTAGCTAGAAGTGCAAAACGGTTTTAAATGGAGAAATTGAGAGGAGGAAGTTGTGTATGAACGCCAACTGGACATTTTGTTTTTGTTACCGACTGGAGTGCAGTGGTTCTTGTGCTCATGCAAGATCTCTTTAAGCCCCTTAACGCTATGAAAAGTGCGCGAAAAAATAGACAAATATCAGTATATCACCAGTATTCGTGCCAAATATTACGAATATACGGAAATTAATTGTAGTTCTAAACTAAGACGGGTATGTAAAGGAATTCACGTATAACATGTCTCGTGACATTGTATACTCTCTGGACCACGTGTGGTCGCAGGTGACGTGGGAGACACACCGCCACGCCTATCTCCGACCCCGCCAGCAGGTGATGCTACTGATGATGCAGGTGATGATACAGGGTGGTCTCGATAGTATCGTTCTCAGTCCGAGCACGGGGGATAACAGGGAAGAGGTGATTAGCCGTTTAGAAAGATTGCAGCAAGTTATTGTAAATAAAGGTGGAATAAAGTATTGTTAAAGTTGATACACTACTTTTTTTTTTACTGAAAACTTCACTTGGTCTTGACACAAAGGCCAGAGGGACGAACATCAATTAACGATCATAATTAATGATGTTTTCCTTTGATTCGTCAGAATTGAACTTTTTTCTACTAGATGAAATTCCAAAACATCGATTTACAGCGTCACAAAACACAGCTCAGTTCGTTCTCCCTTGCACACACGACTGCAGATGTGCATTGCTGTCGATGGGGGACACAGCATGTGTACATTTATAATGAACATAATTGTATTCCGTTTTTCTACTGTTATCTTCGGCTCGTTTTATTTTCGTAAATTTACACAGAAAGTATGTTATGTCTAATTGATTGGAGTATCTGGAGATATTTTAGTTAATATCTTCATTCCCTTTAGAGTTCGCTGTACGTTAGTCTGACAATGACCGTTGCGAGTATCTTCCCGACGCTAACGATTTCTTTATATGGTTCATTTCAGTGCCCCATCGAGGTGGATCGGTCCACGTCCTGATGGGGGATGCACAGAAGGCTCTCATGTGTTCCCTTCTCTCTTTTTCATCATCTTGCTTTTCATTTCACATGTCATATACTTTCTTTTATCATCCCCTTTTTCGTCCTCGCCGGCCTTCTCTGTATGCTGAACGCCCGCTTGTGTGTCTGTCGTGCATGGCGACCCGTGTGCAAGCGAATGAACTCGAGGGATCTGTGCACGCTTTCTCGACTGCCGCCTTGGCGCCGGATGTTTGTTGGTAGACCTTCTCTAGCCACGTTCACTACGAACACCGGTGTGTGCTGAGGACTGATGGGAGTTCTCTACACATCGCAGGCCTCAACACACTTTCTGTGGCCTGGGCTTCTTTGAGATGGGCAGTTGGGAGCTCATCCACTCCCGATCAATTGGCTCGCACTAGGTCTGTGACACAACTCCAGGGTGAGTGAGGGATGTCGTGGTGTCCCGGTGTGAGTGTGCGGCGGGGTAGAAACACGGCTACTCCGTGCTCTATCCCCGTGGCAGCCCTGGCCCTCCAGCTGAATGTCCCCACGTTGGGCTCCTCGGTGGGTGGGGAGCACGAGGATGAAATGGAATTCCTTCTCATGGAGTCAAAAACAACCTCTCGCTCTCTTCCCAAAGGAAGACTATCGACCTAGAAAGCTTCTTTTGCAAAGAAAGTGACTAAAAGCCATGAAAATCCTGCTTTCTTGTAATGACATGCAGTGAAGCGGGAATAACAATGAAGAACGTAAGTTGAATAAAACTTGCAATAGCTGTAGAGAAACTAGAGAAGTTCAAGAAAGTCGTTCATCCATTATTTTTTAGTGTCGTTTAGACGAGGTTTCAAAGTGAAGGAGATAGTCGACCTCCAGATTAAAGTGTGGTGTACAATATTTACGACCAGAAAAAAACAAACGGATCGCACGATGTTGGACCTCTGAGATTTGTACCGCGAAATATTTCTAAGAAATTGGCCTAAGACCCAGGTCATTCAAAAGACTGAGAAGTGCAAGACATTGTTTTGTTTGGAACAGCCCGCATTTAGCGCAGTGTTATAGAGCGACCGATTTTTTGGTAAAATTTTTCATCTCTTAACGTTTTGAGGAGCACTTTTCCTCTTCCTCAAGAGTCTAATTTGAATATAAACAGAAATGATGATAAATAAATTAAATTTTTAACAAGATTATAGAAAAACAAACTAAAATATTATATGATAGATTATGAAAGTATGATATTCTTGAAGTTACCTTTTCATTTAACTATTATGACACAAAAAAATTGGGAAAATGTAAAAAATGTTTTGATAAAACTATTTTTTCAATATAATTATTAAATGAAAGTAAAGTAAACAATACCGTTAACTGATATGTGTTGTAATTTTTTGCCAACCCTTGTGGAGTGCTAATTAATTTTGAAATATTTATTTAAGAATAAGATATTGATAAATTTTAATGATAAAGTAACTTTCTTTGCATATTTCCTATGGAAATGAATGTTGTCAAAGTCAATTTTTTAATAGATTCGCAGTTGTTACGTTACTGCATGCATGTTATTGCTCATTCACTTTACAATGGCAGACGGAGCGCTGTGATCCATAATATTATATAATAATTACTAATAATATTTTAATACTCTCGGCTGCGATCAGTGTACATAGGGTCACCGCCGACTAAATGAGAGTAGCACTCTACAGTTGATAATGATGGATTAAATATGATATAGGTGGCGGTATATGATATAGAGCGGGACAAAGGCGTGTTCATTGCAGGGTACGACAAAGTAGGAGAGGGCAAGAACTTAACTATTGAGTAATAGATATGTGCAAAGGAGAAATAAAAATATTTTTCGTATATTTTGTGAATAGCGTATATTGTCAACGACAAAGAGTATTGTATTGCAGCTATGTTCATTGGTCTTTCTAATGGTATTAATAACCCCTTTTTCTTTTCCTCGCGGCAATAGTTGACTACCTAATTTAAAATAATTTACAGCCAGAACGCAATTTTGCATACCTAAGTAGATTTGATTGTCCACAGTCTTCACAGAAACTGCAAAAGCAAAACAAGCACTTTTTCGCGGACTGTCTCAGCTGGCGTCGGATTCTATTAGACATGTGCTCTTTTCGTGCATTCTCGGATGTGTGTTTGGGCCCTTCCTTTCAAAACAACAGTAGTTCGTAATTCTGTCGTCTGCTACTTATAATACTTCTATAACTCAGAAACGAAAATTACTGTTTTTCAAATATTGCTAATCTTGCGGTTTTTATTTCTTTATTTATACAAATTTTTACTCATCTTTCAACTATTTATAGTTAAAATGACGGGAAGGGATTCTGGAACTCCAGAAAACGCGCGTAAATAATCCTTTACCCCATACATCACATACAGTTTTTACTTAAAAATTTTTTTTTTTTTTGACTGAATAAATCTAAATAATGAACGAGTAATAACCGCAACTGTTAACAATTAGTACGGTCAAGTGATTCAGCTCAGTACTTGGCCTTCCGAGTCCTTCGTGTATTACATCTGTGACATAATCGTTTGTTATGTCAGGTAAATGTGCAATCAGTACGTTTAATTGAGAAACTGAGTCCCACTCCCAATACAACGATATAGATAGCACATGCCATGCATGTGCCAACGATATAGATAGGAATGTCATGAGAAATTATGAAAGAATCAGGACCGATAGGTATACAATGCGATATTCGGGGTGAGCGACGCAGAGGAACGATAGGTCTCGTGAGGGGCCGTGAACAATCAAGAGAATAGGAAAGTAATTTAAGGGTTTGAAAAACAACTTTAGTCCAAAAACCGATATTTTGAAATACTAGAACTGTTAATAGAGCTTTATAACCGCTATTTGCTGACTGTGTTGTGTACAATATTAGCCACTGTTCGTAGATATTAGCTCTAAAATGTTGATATACTTTGATACAAGAACCATGGTCTAGAGTAGTTTTTGGTAAAAGAACCATATTCGTTTAAATGTAAGTTTTCTTCGTGATTATTTTTCAAGCATAGCTTTCCTCGATCTGCAACAGGTAATGTTTATTTTGTGAATGTGGTTATTCTGCATAATCAGTATTTTTGTTCTGTAATTATGGTGGTAGTGTATAACCTGTTCTTGTGGCATGTAACGTCGTTTGTGTTGTGAACCTGAGCAAACAAGAGAGAAAGCATTGGCTAAGAAATGAATTCTACTACATAAATTCATATATATATCATCGGTGGCAGATGTTAATATGAAGTACGAAAACACTTATAATAGTGATAACACCAGTGGCCAAGAACAATAAGTTGTTCAGTAATATTCCAAATTGATTAAGTGCATTAACTTCTTAAATTATTGCTTCAAATATTATATTACTACCCCCAAATAAATAATTTTGGTACTCTAAAAATTTCTCAATTTTTAAAAAAAAAATCACACCAAATTCTATACACATCCCATTTTATATAATAATTTCCGTAATACAGTTCAAACTTGAACTATACTCAAACGTTTATCAGTATTTACAACAGCTTGAGAAACTGCACAACAATTTCCATGCTTCAAATGTCTACCGATTTCATGGAATATTTTTCCACTCTCCTGAAAATTTGTTTTTGAACAATGGTTGATTTTAAAACAAGTTAGTACGAGAAAATCTGTTTAGTTTTGTAGAACTGCTAGTTCATTTCTTTATTACGCTCCGAAAGCTAACGCTTTTTTTTAAGTCTCCAAATGTTCTTGCCACCTCGGTAAAACCTATTAATTTCACATGTGCCAGATGACTGGTCTGCTTTCCACCAGCGCAATAAATTCTATTGTGTCCTCGATGCGTAATTATTAATCAATTACTAAACAAATACTGTGACTTGTGCATGTGCAAATATTTCTCGAACGCCGTAGTTTGCATATTTTAAGGAACAATGAACAATCGACAATAATTCAATAAAATGAAAAAAACACAGTTCACAAATACCTTATCTTCTCGTGCTTCTGCCATGTCGACGGACGGAGTACTCTGACTCTTACTCTCTTCGCTCGCAAGCCTTTGCCACCAAACGGAATTGATTTTTTTCCTGAGCCGAAGCAACTTCTGAAAACAAACGTATATGCAACTTACGTGACTCACATCTACTCAAAATGACAGCGCTTGCTGCGGTGGAGCAAGAAAACTTACCAGGGCGTTCACACACGCAATTTCGCGAACTGCTCTCCAAATTGGTAAAATTATAGATTCCTCTTGATATTGACAACCTAATTATATTATTCAATCAAAATCTTTGTTTATTCTTTTCGCGAGGTTTTGGAACCAAGTTAGACCCATCATCAGACAAGTTACCAGAATAATAATTCACATATTACCATAAATATTGGATTTTTCATCATGTCATATGTTCATCCATAGGGATGTCATGTATTTCAGAAAACCAACAGAAAGCTCTCATTATTGTTGAGGAATATAATGTTAAGATTCACAGTCAATGGTGGCAACATGACTTTGACAGTGAACCTTAACCCCACAATAATGTAAACCTCGCTTTGAAACGTAGCTAAGTGACGAAATAAAGAATTTGATAGAAAAGGAATTTTAATTTGATTGTCATTAATAAGAGGAACCTAATAATACGTAAACAACCAATACTTTCTACAATTAATGATCAGCAAATTGCTGGGCACTTTCTTACCTTGATAGAGCAAATATAGTATTGTTAGAAATCTTGATATTTTGTATTAAACAAATCAACAAATTATTAAACTGACCACTATGAATGTTTTTAATGCTTTTAAAGTAAAAACAACCTTCTGAACTTGAATCTATTTCATAATAGTATATTCAATAAACATATGCGTTAAACATTCTGTTTAATCAACTTTAAACTTTGTGCTCTATAGTCAACTATCCATCCATACAATTCACTATCCATAATAATCTAATATATACTTACATTAATTTCCTCTGAAGTCTTTTTGGTGCCAAGATGCACAAGAACTTTCCACTATATATACTATTCACTACACACCAGAATACAACATGAAGACACTTCACACTAACAACGACTTTTCTCGAAGCGTTGGCGCTAGTGAAGCTAAAATTTTGCGCTCGACGCCATCTTGTTATTACATATTCATTCGCCGTCTGTGTTAGGGTTTTCATTTACTAATTTCTTGATTTTAATCAATTTCTGGTGTGCTTTGTCAATTACTGAATTATTTGCGTCGTGACAGTGAATAGTTGTATTGTGTTTGGGTGTAATGTTTCCAATTTGCGACACAACGGGGAAGAAATTGGAATTTCAATATACTTGTTAGTTATTATCTTTTCGTGCTTTACACTAATAACTTTGGTTAATTTAGCTATTAAATTCCAGTTGACGATTATTCTTTGTAAGCTAGTTTGATTAAATCACAAGTTAATATCGGTCATGAAAAGAAGTAAGCTTGTGTGTATACGAGTTTTCAGGCTCAAACGGTCTCTGAGAAAGTGGATCATACTAACTGCACTAAAATCACCCGCCATTCTAACGACATTGGTTTTGGGACTTCTCGTTACACTTAAAGTTTAGTAAAGGTCTAGTTCAGGGGAGTCAACTTTCAATATGTTGGCGTACATGCTGTAGTAAAATTTTTGTATAGCTAAGGTTGGCCACTTTTTAAATTTGTTTATTTCCTACCAACATTTTCGAAAATGCACTTTCGAACGTGTGGAAGCATAATGCCATTTTTTTATTGATTTTAGCATTTCGATATGATATTCTCATCGTTTGTTTTTTGAATTATCGTCATTTGTTTTGAATTTTTAAATCAGACATTTGAAACAATGGCAGGTAAGCGTGTTAAAATTATGTATAAAAATCGTGTTTAATTCCAAATATTAAATAGTACAGCAAGATACAATGTTATTGTTCTATTTGGGAATTCGAACGCGAATTTATTTGCCAGATTATTCGCATTATGTTATTATGTATTTTGTATATTTTTAGTTAAGATTTATAAAAGTACTAAATTACAGTGTCCAGAAGCACAAATTCTTACAATTACTAATAACATGAACACTGGCAGAAATAAAACACGCTTGTGCAGAGCATTCACTAAAGTTAACATAAAATTATTTCCGGAATACTAACTGAAGAAATCATGAGACAGTTTATAATGCTGTTGACACAAATGAAAAATATAATTTATTTTTCTCAAAACTTTCATTACACTTTAACGCGTGCTTTCTTCTGAAAAAGAGAACGTGAAACATTTCACGGAAAAAGAATCCTTGGATCACACAAGAAATTAGAACATCGTGTAAAAGAAAACGTACGCTTTACATTATTTCTAAATATCATAACGTACCACCCGTATCTCCCATGTCTGATTCCGAGAATACAAAAGAAAGTAATTTTTCACGCAAAAATAGTTCAAAATAATCTGGCTAGTAACAAGATTAAAGCAATGTGGAATATCGTAAAAAATACGACCACATCATCTCGGTACTTAGTAGAGAATGATGTTTTAAAGTAGAATGAAAGAGAAGCTAGTAGCGGAGGGCAGGACATGTAATTTTTACAACAGAGGTTTTCAGGACACGTACTTTTAAATGATTGACATTGTTCATAATATTTGTGTTGGCATAATATTGTGTTGTGTCTCTCTCTCTCTCTCTCTCTCTCTCTCTCTCTCTCTCTCTCACACACACACATCGATCGATGCCGCGAAAAAATCCTTCGTACGGCTCCCTTTGGAGAGGAACTAAAGCCGATTGTCCCAAGTTAGTAGATTTACTGCATGTAAAAGATCAAGGCTAAATGAAGCCTCTGAGCTCAATTCAAATCGCCTGTTTCGTCGCCCAAGAAATAACTCCCTTCTCCGTTAGGCGGTGAAAGGAGCCTGGTCAAACGGAAGAACAGGCCTTATGGCCTGAGTCTCGCCACGTAAAATAAATCAATTCAATTCAAACAGATGTATGTCGCCCTACCAATGTGTCCTTTTTGAGCTGCTCAGTGATACAAAGGAAGGCATTTCTGGCAGATGTGGTGGATTTGTGGTGATACCTATAACAAAATTAATATTTCCCAATCGATCCCGTCGAATCTGAAACTAATTTTGATTTTGGGTGAGAAGACGTCTAAACAATATTTTCAAACTTCTCAAAAGATATATATTTTTGTGTAAAATTTTTATTTCGAATGAAAATTGCAACTGTTGCAAATGAGGCAAGAAAGTATATGCACTACTAATTTCATGTATAAAGATACAAAACACCTTGTAAAAAACAAAAATATTCACTTATCTTCTGGAATTTCACTGGATTCTCATTAATTAAATACGTTTAGTGAAGTTAGAATGTGTGATTTTGTTTCCAAAAACCGATTTATTTTTGTAAAAGTGTAACAAATAATAATACCCAAATAATGAACATAGAGCTAATAAACTATTTTTTCAAAACTATTGTCCATATTTTTGTCTATTTGTTATATTTAAATCATGCAGTGTGTGCAATTATATGTGTTATAATTATTGTATGCTATATATTAGGCCTATAGAGAAAAATTCTGTGGGTCAATAAAGCAAACCATTCTTTTAAAGCTTTTCAATGATACAAAAGGATTGGAAATCCCTGATGCAGGCCATGCCTCCTTTCCTGGAATCGTCAAAACCAACAAGATTATTAGGTGTCGCTTTCAAGAGCTATTTTGTATATTGATTAGTCACTTTAATCTTGTTATCATTCAGAGTATATTGTTTGTCGAGGTGAAGAATGGTCATAACAACATTCATGTGTTAAACAGTCTCTTGTAGTTTGGATACTTAGTTTTTGTTTTAAAGTGATTAACAGAACATATATCATTCTGCCCATTTATAATTACTAGACAAACAAAAAATAGTTTCACCGATAATATAATCATTTATTCTTGGATCAAGGTTACATACAAGTAATTTTGATGCTGATACGCAGACTTTTTAAACATGAGATATAAAATGTATTTATAATAATGAAATCTATTTTGAGAGGACAGAAACGTGTAATTTGGAATTATGTTTCTCAACTTGTGTGCAGATACTTAGAGCAACTTATAAATAAAAGATACACATTTAAATAAAAACACTTATACTACATTTGAAGTTGCATCATTCTTGAACTGGCCCTGGATGTATTAATCTGTATCAGAAGCATCACTATTGTAGTGCTTGCCATCTTCTTTCAAGATGATTTTCTTCTTGGTCTTTCCCCTGCGCTGCCTTTGGTGGTCTGTGCCATAATTCTCCTTTAGAATATCATACCACAAAGATTCTTTCCTGAAAAATAAAGATATTTTGTTATTAAGAGCCAATAGTGGTGAGATACTAATTGTGTAAAAAGAAGAGAGAATTTGTTTTGATTTCCACTCTCAGACTAAGAAAATTTGATGACAATAGAATTTCTTATATTTATGTTCAAATGTCTTTTTGAAAAATATGTGTTTAACTATCCTTGTAAACTATCCTTGTCTACTAAATTGTCTCACAAAATTATTCATTAATACACTATAACTCTGTAGGACACTTTTGTGTAAAGTTCAGATGTGTAGAAGATATTACTTTTTCTTTTACTTGATCAGGCCAACTTCAGATCATATTAATTGCTAATAGTACATAGCACACTCTTTTATTAATTGAACCCCTGAAAATTAAAAGAAGTGAGCTAAATTGTTTTTATGTATTAATCAGTGATTTTGTTTTCCAGAGTGATCATAAAAAATTGCTATTAGCAAGAAATAAAAGAAATTTGTTCATATTACATACATAAGTTGAGAAGTTTCATTCCTATCATGAGTGATCCTCATGAAGAAATTTTCCCTTAAACAATGTGTAATCAATGTCTTTTGTCCCATTTTTTATATATTGTCGTAATGACATTGTTCTGTAGAGTTAATAAAAAGTTATGCTGTAACCTTTTCTGAAGCCTCATCATTTATTGGCATGAGTTTCCTCTCCAGATGATTGAAATATCTAATTGTTGGGGAATATTTCAATTGCTGAGTTCAATTAGAGACCTGAAGTCAAATTTAATGATTTTTACAAAATTGCACTCCTGAATATATCAAAAATTTTGTTCTCGTCAATATTGTAAATGTCTAACTTAGGTCAATTTTCAAACTTCATGTGTTTTGTTACTGCAGTGGATGATGGTAACTATGGTGGTATGCTCTCAATCTTATGTTATGATCAATTACTTAAAGAAATCAATTTCTCAGGAAATTACATTTTGAACATATTTCTAATTTCTATATTCATTTTCTATATTTTATACATTTTCTAATTATATAATTATTATGACATAAGTACATTGATTGAAAAATAATTTAGAAAGATTAATTAAAGAAAATTATTTAAGGAAAGTAAAATATTTCAAGCCACATGACTAAGTAAAAGTAAAATTTTGCATTTCTTCTTTCCTTATGAAGAGCAAATCTAATTATTTTCATAAACTTAATTGAATATTATAGTAAAAGAATAAAATATAAAGTTAATTTCTAAATCTTGACTCTGATTAAATGATGTCATTAGTATTTTAATATGACTTCATTTAAAGAATTAAACACAGTAATACAATATAAATTTCAGTTTATGTAGATACAAAACAATATTAAATCTTAATAATAATAATAATAATAATAACAACAACAATAACAATAACAATAATTATTATAATTATTATTATTATTATTATTATTATTATTATTATTATTATTATTATTATTATTATTATTTTACAAAAACTAGTAGAAAGGTATTGAATATGCATGTAATCACATAAACTTTTGATTCAAGTGTTTACTTATGACTGAAGAGTTAAATAAAAAATTAACAAGAAATTATTTTATACCAGTTACTTTGAGTAAATATTTCCTATACAAATTTCTTCCTAGTATCTATATGATACACTTCATGAATAAATTATATAACCAAGAGTAATTTCATATTGAATATGTTTTTTCAATTTAAATATCTAATTTTTATAATTAGGTATCCAAGAGTAGTTTCATAATAAATATCTTATTTAAATTGTTTTTTTATACAAAATTTAGATTGAAATAATGAAAATACAAATATTTAATTTTTATAAAGACGATTTCTTCCCTTTCTTATCTCCTCAGTTGAATTTGAATGTGAAAATTTGTTGATTGCCCAAAAAGCAGTGAAGTAAAAGAAGCTGTATTATAAAACCCATGTCATGGTAGATTTAGATCCAAAGATTGAACAATAGAAACGTCAATTAAACAATATACTGAAAAAATAATCAAGCCTTTGATGATATTAATAAGAAACAGAATGCAATTAATATTTAACTTTACCGGCAATGCTGAACCCCCTTTGTCAATAATGCTTCCAAGCCTGGTAGTTTTCGTCCTGAAACCAAAAATGGATATGAATCTGTAAATTATTGAATTAATTTCTTCAATGTTCAATTTAATATTATTAAGAACATTGATATAATGGTATGACTTGAAGATTATTAGAAGAAAATACCACATTTGTATATTGTATTTATTGAAATCAGAGTATATGACTTAGCACTTAAAAACGTGTTTCAGACTACAAGAAGAGGCCATATAAATTTATTTTTTTTTTTTTTTGCATATTTTGACATTTATTGGAAATAGGTACATATTTCAGTAATTCATATATATAAATGTGTATTTTGATGTTATTAATTCTCTGAAGGCTATCACTCTTAAGGCGCTGAGCAGAGGAAGTAATTTTCAGAAATAACATTGATAAATGGTTCTGCAACAATAGAACATTTGAATTTTTTTTCAAGAATAAATAATAAATCTACAGTTCATGCCAACTAGTAATGATTTAGGTGAAGAATGGAGAAACATCAAACAATATTGATGAAGGCTGCATATCAATCACAAGTCTAAAGTTTGGAATGAAGAAATAAAACAATTTATTGAAAGAAAGGAAGAAGCATACTTAAAACACCTAAAAACACCAAATAATATTGACTTGAAAATTGAAAATAAAAGAATGTCTGCTTTAGAGAAAAATAAAGTATATTTAGAATATGGAAGGCAAGATAAAGCTTATAAAGATTATAAACAAATGAAATAAAGAAGAAAAGCATACTTTAAGAATAAACCTGATATTACAAAAATAATTATTTTACAAATGTATGTACATGTGATGAGCTGATGTAGTACTAATAGAACCAGTTGGTAATGTAGAACACATCGACATTCAAGAACTTGAAGTAATCAGCAATCAATAAAAATAAGAAATCTGTAGGTACAGATAGTCTAAATATTGACTTAATAAAATATGCATCTATAGAGTTTAAACAATATTAACACATTTCACAAACATGAACAGGATGAATAGAATGAATCATACATCTACCCAATAAACAAAAAAGAAGTTTGAACATTGTGTAACAACTACAGAGGAATACATTTACTTAACTCCTGTTACAAAATTTATGCAGAAATTATTGGAAGAAGATTACCGCCACTAACAGAAAACAAAATTTCAGAAGACTAAATAGATTCAGGAAAGATGATGCAGTGATTGTATATTTACAATTATCCTTTTAATAGTAAAATGAAGAGAACAAAATCTACAAATGCATTATTTGTTTTTTTGACTATCAGAAGTCATTTGGTAAACTAAAAAGGACACTTCTATGGGAAACATTATTTAAAAAAACAATACCAAAACATTTAATGAAAGCTCCTTAGACCCTTACGAGAAGACAAGAAAATAAAACAAAAGAGAAGCTGAAAGTGGGTTTTGTATTCAATCAAGGTGTAAGATAAGTATGCTATTTGTCACTTATTTTATTTAGTATATACATTTATGAAGTCATAAATGAATGGCTTAAAATTTGAGATAGACAATTCATAATAAACAACAACAATTTGTGCAAAATAGACCACTCAACTGTTTGCAGATGACCAAATAACAATAGGAGGTTCTATGGAAGAGATATCCAAAAAGCAATATATAAGCTGAATGATATATCGGAACATAGGATTACTGAAATACTTAGTTCCTAGGGGTTAAAATTTGCTCCAGGTGCATTTAAAGTTTTATTGGCTTGTATGTGTAACCTGAGCAATATAGGAATTATTTTTTTGAGTGAAGGAAAGCACATTCTTAGTATTGGCAGACCACATTCTTCACATAGTCATCAGTGTCAGATTTCTGCCAGCTGAAACCAAGGCTTGCGTTCAGAATGAAAAAAAGCGCCATTAAAAATTATTTAAAAACTCAGTGAACTGAAGACAAACTGAGGGTAAATTGTGCTCATTTTAAGAATTCATTATCATATCTATTTATTATCTACATTATATTTTAGTTCTGAGCATAGTTGTGTGTTATGAGTATGAGAAAGTTAATTTCATAAGAGATTACACATTTCCCCACTTTGGGAATACATTGCTCCACAACAAAAGTGGAGCAAATCCTCACTGTCAAATATTGTCGTTGAATTTCTGAGTCAGGAATGTGAAACAACTGTATGAAATATATTAAATGTTTTCTTCTCATTAACAACCCTACTTTTGATGTATAGGTATTTAACATTTTTGTTTCATACAAAACATATTTTGAGATTATTCTTATTTAGATTCTGTATATATTCCTTACTTGTTTTTTCTATTGCAATAAAGGTCATATAATGCTTTAAACACAAAAATTCATCCATAACTGTTACTTTTGAAGGCTGGTGGTAACTTGGTAACTTTGCTCCATCCATTTAGAAATTAAATTTAAAAAGTACGAGTAAATTTTTTGACATATAGTAACATCAATTGATACTCCTAACACAAAACTAGGTAATAAAATTTTAAAACAACGAAACATTCTACAAAATGTCATTTTTGAAATCCCTCTAGGCTCAAACCTCAAAAAAGTGGAGCAAAATAACTCCATGCAATAGAAGCTAAACAATACAATATGGCAATATCCGCAGGGAGGGAAATCCTGTCAACAATTTTTCAGTAACAATTTCAACTTGTCACAAAACATTCAAGCAAAAATATTTCAGATAATCATTAAAGCAAATAAAGGTTTATCACAGCATGATCTGCGTTTAGCCAGTGTCATTCTACATAATCTGTAATATGTAAATATATATATAACCCCTCCCCCCTAAAAAAACAATTTGTCTCTTGATCCATGCCTGCAATATCTATAGAGGAAACAGAGGCCACAACATTCAAAGGAACTACTGAAAAAAAAAGTCCTGGCAATAATATGATAGAAGAGTTTAACACATTCAATTAGCAGTGTTCAGAACAACATTTACAAAAAATAGTGGCTTGGAAGTAAAATTAAATGGGTACAGACATTTTGTAGTACAATAGCACATACACTGAAACATAAAATTGGAAAATACATAATAATTAAACTAAAGAAAACAATGGTCTTACTCATCTCTCTGTATGGAAGTGAATGCTGAACACTAACTAGATCATAGAGGAGAATTAAATCAACAGAAATGAAATTTCTCAGAAATATAGCTGGATACACACTTTTTGACCTTAAAAATTAAGATAAGTAATAGAAAATAATTAAATCCTAAGTACATATGAAAATATTAAATAATAGTTGTAAAATGGAAAAATCATGTATTAAGAATGTCTGAAGAAAAAATAACCAGAATGGCTCTGAATTGTGAACCAAGAGGGAGAAGAAACAGGGAATTCATCGAGAAGATGGAGTGAGTATTTCTAGGAGGTAGAACAGACTGAAAAGTGTAATCCTTGCAGATGATGATGATGATGATGATGGTATTAGTTGTTCTTTAAAAATTAAAAGTACGTAATTAATCATTGCAATATTTGTTGGGCAAATGAAACATGATAGCCTCTTTCTTAAATAGAATAATGAAATTTCATGAACAAATATTATGAAAAGGTAGAGTTTGATTGTTCAAGTGAGTGAATATTTAGTGTATCTGGACATGTTAAATATTTTGTTCATTATTCCTGTCAGTGTAGCACAAGATATAGGAACTGGCAATGTAACTCAATGCTTTAAGCACCTGATATGTGTGATAGTGTAGTGCATGCAAGTGTTTGTGAAAGAGGAAGGGAAGATCAAACACGGTCCATGGCTAGTTTGTTAGGCCCAGCATTTGCATGGTATTTATTAAAGAAACCATAGAAAACTATTGAGCAGAGCAGCTAGCCATGAGAATTCTCCTCTAGACTCTAGCTGAATTTGACCTAGCTAATAAGCTAGTGTCAAAATCTACCATCATCAGGACTTGGACCCTCAGATCTCCAGTCAGAGGTGCAGATAGCGGCAAGGCTGGCTCTGAACTTACTCTGATAGAATCATTATTAAAAAAGGCACTCTCTGAATTTCTTAACTACGCCCCCTGAAGTCACAGAGGTTAAGCAAATTCGGGACCTTGCAGGTTTCTGGTTAGGTTCCTGGACTGTCTAGGATCTAAAGGTGCTGCGTTCCTGGACAAAGGGAAAAAAGGCAATGACTGACTATGACTAATGACTACTGACTAATTTGAAGGAGAATTAATCCAAAATGTTCAATGCCAGTAGATGGCTGTAACAAACAGAATGTTGTTATGAATTGTAACAGAAAATAAAAAAACTAAAACAGAAACAAAACATTTCTTAAACAGACCATGAAAAGGAGTTCAATCACATCAAATAAAGATGGTAAGATTCAAAGTCAACCAATATGTTGGAATGAAAATGGAAGATATATGGTTGGAAGATATGTTTAAAAGGATATTTAGGAAAATTGTCAACAGTAAGAGAGATATATTCAAAAATTGTTTGTGGGGAAATTTCACTTCATTGATGAAAAATTTGTTTATTTTTTCAGAATATTAGAATTTCATAAAATAAATTCATGATAAATATTATAAATGAAATTTTTAGATACATTTTTCATGAAATTGGAATAAACAATCATTTTTTAATAAAAAATATAATAATCTTCTGCTTCAAAAATTGAACCAAGTGGATCATTGACACACATGTACGTCTTAATTTTTCACTTTCAGTGTTATTTCAAGTTTTTTTCATATTGTTTTATGGTAATATAAAACTTATGAGTAAAATAGGGGTACATATGACCATACAGAATGTATGTGTCACCAATAATGAATGTCTGTTGTTAGATTGAATATTGATGTAACTTACCAAGAAGGAGATGTAATGTTGCTTCTCCTGCACAAATATGAGAAACATTTCTAGCAAGCTTCTTTTTCCTTGCAAAGTTGCCTGTGGTTTCCCCAACAATAATGGTCTCTGCACCTCTGCAATATGCATCATTCAATAGTTCGATGAGGTCTGCTGTGCCATCCTCATAAAGGGACTCCTCAACCACGCCCATTGGGCTGAAAGAAGGTGCACTTTTAAATTTAACATAAAAATATCAAACAATGGAGAAAAATTATCAATTTTTTTGTTCCTTTCCATCTTGCTAATGGGAATAGAAAATTCATAGAATGCAAGATTCATACATTTTATATATAATAAACAGATCACTACTACTATTGAAGGGCTCAGAGCCAAAGGGGACTAACCCACAATTACTGCAAAATTAGTACATAATTGTTGATGTTAAGAAGATTTTGACAAAAATGAGAATTGGCTTCATACCATCTTTTTATTTGTCTACACTTAATAAATACACCAAATTATCTTGAATCTATAACAATAATGTACGTTTTTTAAAAATGCTTAAAAATAAACAATAAAAATTTGAATCATGTCATATACAGAAGAAGGAAAGGACAGATAGTGAAGTGGTTTGTCATGTATACACCATTTTTTTTAAAATTTCGTATTCACTTTTCAAAATTTTTAAAGTTTCATATTAATACTTTCAACCTTCAACAATGTTTTATCAAAAGAAAGCTAAAAAGCATCATTGTGAGTTCTTATATCTCTTTTCAGTCATTGTTTTCTTCTTCAAGATGTAATATAATCCACAATCCTCAATATCTTGAACACCATTAATGATTTAGTAGAAGGAGTGGTAAACTGGAGAAACTTAAACAATCTTATAATATTTACATTTTCAATTGAGTATTTCCTTTCTAAATATATGGAATAATTTCAGTAACAAAACATTACTGAAAACCTTCTGCATTCCTTGATGATTTCTGGTCAGATTGACTATAATTAAAGGTATGTCTTTTGAACAAAAATTTTGTATTTCTAGTGGTTTTTTTTTTTGGTTATGTTCTATTTTCCCTGAGAGATTCAATTTATTTTAAGCCCATTCAACTTTCGGTTCCATCACAGCTTACTTTGTGGTTGATAACATCTTCCTCCAACAGGGAAGTACTGAAAAATAAGTTTTGTGTCATCAAAAAGCTACTGTCTTGTTTTCAAATTCTTCACTACTTCCATTCATCTATAACGAAGAGGTTAGGATTGTACCATTTTGAATTTCTCAATAACTGAAATATCCTGATCTCTTAATGGAAAACAGGCCTCTGAAGTAAAGAACTTCTAGTCAGTGACTTGAAGATTGGGTAGGTTGCGCAGTATGTGGGAGAAAATAGAGCAATCATAATATTGCGCTTGTGTCCATCACAAGCATAATTGTATACAATCAAGTGAGTTGACAGTTTTTTTAAAATACATCTTTTGATGAATAATCCTATTTCCTGTGGACTATATGTAACATAAAGTATATAAAATAATATTCAAACAATAACTTAACTGCCGCTATATAATGTTTAAATATATTTGCAATCACTTGAAGTATCATTTCAAGATACACTTCTCAGACTGTTTATAAATGGATCTTCCAGAGAAAAATGAGAATATTCAAGAAAATCTGCAATATTGCTGTTTGACATCTCCAAAACCATTGTTAAATAAGACTTGGTCATGTTTTCCTCCTAACCTCCTATTTCCCCTTTCCTTCTATTTCAGCTTTCCAAGAAGATCCAAAACGATCCAAAACACACTAATAGATGTCACTACTAATTAATAAAGTACTACACTTCCTCCACAAATAAAACCAAAAATTTTTCAAAACAGGAGATTGGGAGGACTGAGAGTAATGGAAGGTGAAAATGGCAAGATTCTAAGGGGAAAATGCTGAAGAAGAGGAACACAAAGAGTTATGTTAACTCAAGACTTATAAACTTAATTCTTCTTTTTTAGTTTATATGACAGAGATAATTATTGTTTTGAACTCAATGGTAATGAGTGATGGGGAATAAATATATCCTGCAGACTCTTTCAGTCTGATTCAGTTTAGTATAATTTTAATCTTACAGTAGTCACAGCATATTTTGAAACATCAGACATTGTGGGGGATTATGAGTCCACACTGTGCCAAAAGTGGATATAGACAAAGTAGATTAGGAAATTTATTTTCAACGTAAAAGGAAATTGCAAAGAAAGAGCATGAGAAAGCAATGTAACGCAAGTAATGTAACGAAAAATAAATATCAACACAAAAATAATATTTTAACTTATATGTATTTAGTGTTTCAAATATTATGGATCACATTCATGAATTTCCACACAAAATATTTTCACTCAGATTGTACAAATTTAGAAAGAACTACACAAAAAGCCAATCACTGCATTAATACGCTTTCACTTTCAAGTTTTTTTTTAATTCTCCATTTTTTACCTAATTATTGAAACTAACATCAACAATATAATGTCAGCACTCTCATCGAACTGAGAGTCTGCAATTGCTGATTACTTCAAAACGACTGCACTAGTCAAAACCAAAACAAAAGAATGATTTAAAATTATAACTGTTTGTAGGAAGGTACTGGAAACACGTCAGGTATAAAATATTAAAAAGTATGAGAAAAAATTGGTGCAGTCTCATAGTCCGCAAGCAAGCACTGCAGAGTTAATAGTAGTGTAATATGTACGAAGAAAAATACATTAATTTTATTTTTAATTCTAATGTCTCTTCGAAACTTGTACCCCATGTAACAAGTTTAAAATTCATATCCAGAACAGCACAGCATTCATTTCCAAAACAATGAAAATTTGGAATGAATGCAAGAAGGGTTTGAGACCCTATTATATTTAGAGGGATACACTTTCATTAAACGTTAGTAATTTCAATGCATTCCCATTGAAATTAACAAATGTAGTGGAGGCATGTAGGACTGTCTTTTTGAGGTTAAGCCCTCTTCCATTCAAATCCTCAGTTAGAACCAAATTTAAAAATCATCACTTTAAAAATCACTTTTGCAGAAGGTAAGTAATGAGACCATCCCTTTTCTTCAAAATTTTGCATATGAAAATTATTATTAATTCTGCAATCAGCAGGTAATCCACAATTTTAATACATCATACAAAACAGTGATAAAAAAGGAGGAACATATTATTACATTTTATATTTTGTGGTAATGGGAATATTGTTTATATAAGCTGGTATCCGTTATGAAACGTTAAAATGGATCGCATTTTATTATTTTCATTTTCAATACCGATTATAAATTCCAAAATTAATCTTTCTTTAAAATGTGTCTTGTATTACACTCACAGCCTTGAGGTCATTATTTCTTGTGTCTTTATAGATTTTCTGACTTGTTCTCACATCATTACTGCAATATTTAAATATATAATTTTCTAGCAAAAGTAACCTGCATTGCATGGGTATTTATTTAACACATTCATTCAATAGACAGGATAAGGAATACATTACATTATAGACAACCTATAATGTATCCCTGTCTTAGCTTGTTGTAGCTTGCACTGCACTGCCCAAACCCATCCTATACCTTTCCACTGTTATAACTCTGCTGTGCCGGAGCCTTCGCTCACCTCCATCCTACTCTGCCTTCTAGCTACAATCACTGTTTCTACCACTATTGTTACTTCAGGCAGTTGTAAACCGATGTATTTGTTGCACACTCCTGGTAAACTTCCTTTTGAATTTTTTACTTGCAATTACTCAAATCATAATAATGCTATTGGAATGAATTGAGTAGTAACTTTTATGTGATTGAAGAAACATTTAATGCACTTTGATATATTTCCTCAACTTTTTCAAAATATTTGTCAAAAACTGAAAGAGTGCACAATTAAATTTTGTTCTAAACTGTAGGGAAGTAATTTTTAACAAAATCTCATGCAGTCAACAATTTCTATCATTTTGAAGCTCCTATGTGCAAAACTTCATTAGCATTACAAGAAAACTAATTTGCATGGAAAAACAAACATTCTTTAATAAGAGAAAAAAAATTATTTGAAATATGTAGCATAAGTCATGCCTAATAAAATACTTGTTCAGTGAAAATCCCAGACAAAAAATTTTAAAAAATATTGAATTGTTTTTACATTTAAATATGCAAAAGCAATATATTATCAATACAGTTATTTTAAAATTTGTTATATATTTTATTTATGTAGAGTGAACTTGTTATGAAACCAAATTAATGATGTGTCATCCAAATGTGATTTAAATAATTTAGTCAAAAACCAATAAAAACTGTATATGACATATGGGGGAGAAGAACATTAGTGCATGTTTTTTTGAGTTCCAGAATCTCTTCCCACCTAAAGATTAATAATAATAATAATAATAATAATAATAACAACAACAATAACAATAACAACAACAATAGCAATAACAATAACCATAACAACAATAAAAATTGCAATATGTTTCCAATAAAATGTATTGCTTTGACTTTTTAAACTTAATTTGTTACAGAGGAAATGGTTATTTTTCTTTTAATATCTCTAAAGAAGTGTCAAGAATATTCTTGGTAATATTTAAAAAGAAATTAAACATTATAATCAAAGTGGCTCCAGAAAACAATATTGTGGAAAATATATATACCTACTATAACTACAGTATTAAAAAATACATAACAGATTTGAGTTGAAAAAAATGCTTTCACATTATTTGTAATATTTTATACTGACCCATAAAGAAGAATGGTGTTTGATTTCTTGACAAAATTACGGATGTCATTGAGTGAAATAAATCCAATGTCTAATCCCATTTTCCCTTTAGGAATTCCTTCTTCGACAGGACAAAATCTGCTTCGCTCACTATCACGACGTCCCACCATAAAATCACAGGGTAAATACATCATAACTCCATTATGCTGAGCTTTTCTCATCAGGTTTCTGACAATACGACCACTATGTTTAAGGAATAAAGAATCTCCAATCTAAAAAGTTGAAGATATTAATGAGTGTGCACATACGTTTACATAAAAGTAATTTCTAAAAATTTAAATATTTTTTTTAGTTACCTTCATATTCTTTGTTTCCTTTAAAAAAGTAAAAGCTAAGCCTCCACCAATTATTGCATAGTCCACAAAATCTAGCAAATTATCCAAAATTGATAACATGATGTCAATTTTATCACCACCTAATATAGCACACACAGGCCTTAAAAGGAAAGTAATATGGAAAATTATTGACATTTCTTAGGATATTGATAAGCTAAGAAAATATTGGACCAATAGTTACTACTTGCTCTACAATTTCTCAACACACCTTTTCGGCTCGATATAGAATCTTTGAAAATAATTTAGTGTCTTTTGTGTGTAGAGACCAGTCACACTAATAGGAAAATATTGTGCCAAAATGGAGCTATGTGTTAAGTGAGTAAGTGAAAAAGCCTCGTTTACATATATGTCACCGAAACTTTTTATTATGCGTCTAAATCTTGAGATCCTTTCATTTGTAAGCTGTATCTAAAGTGAAGAAAACAATATGAAAATGCAAATTATAAAGAAATGGCAATGAGATTTATTGTATCAAACATAGAATAAGTAAAATGTCAAAATTACAACAATCAAAATACAAACTGTATTGTCTTTGGTTGTTCCAAATTCTTCTGGATAGAACTGAATATTTTCAAGAACCGCAATGCTTCTTCTAGGAGGAAAAGAACAGAAAGCTCGGACTTCATGATGAAAAATATCATGCAAAAATTCTACTGTTCTGTAAAATGTATTTCATTGAAGGTCATTAGTTTTTGTGTCTGTCTGAATTTTGAACAATTAGTAATTTTAAGCTCAAATGCAAAGGAACGAGGGAAAGAGAAAAGATAAATTCAGTTATTTGAATAAAAAAAAATAAAACACAATATTGCAGTACTTACAAGCCATAATTTATGTATAAAATTTTATCAAGCTCTTTTGCTACAGGTTCTAAGGAGCAATATTCATTCTTTTTGCCTCCAGCATCTCCTATATGAGATATAAGAAGAATCGAGTAGCAATCACATCCAAGAAGAAACTTGATTGTAGGGATCACCCTGTGAATTTTCTCACTGTCAAGAATTTGTCCATAGGGAGAGAGAGGGACATTAAAATCAGTCCTGAAAAATAATAATTCAATTTTTCATAATAAAAGAGAAATTAAAACTTTTTAAAATTAATACTGCATTTCATGGATTTTTGGAAAGAAATAAAATTGTTTAATTTTTGTAGCAGGAAAATTACGTGAAGCAAATATGAACATTATAATAGTATGTAGGTAATCTGCATAGGTTGATGTACTGCCTGAGGAACTTATTTCCATTCAGTATTCCACACTTTCAATTTGTCAACTGTATCTTTTACATATTTTCCATATAACGTAAAATTTGTAAAAGAATTTTTTCACAAAGATCACTAACCTTCACTCATTAGGACCAACATCCAAAAGATGGAAACATACAAATGATGGATAATGTGGAAAACTGAGTTATACTGAGTTAAACTACTTCTTCTGAATTATACTTGCTTCTCTTTTTTGTATAATGTGAATAAACCTATAAGTTTATAATGCCATAAATTATAATGCCAACTTTATGATTCTTTTTGTCTTCTTTTAACTGATTTCCTAACTTAAAATGTACACAATTCTTTCAAACCTATCTCAAACAATTTGTCTATCTCTAGTTGCACAATGTGTGGGGAAATCACATTTTAAGTACAATTTTCTGTTCAAAAATATAAAAAAGAGTTGACAAAGTTAACCTGGAAATGGGGCAACTTTGCCATTTGTGAAAACCAAGTAAAAACCCCAAAAATTACAAGAAAAAACGTTTTTAAGACTATAATAACACATTCGTACAAAAGGGGGCAAGAAAAACATGTATTTTTAACTTTTTTGAAAATGAATTTTTAGAATTTTACTTGGATTTTATATTTTAGTAGAAATTTTATTATTAAAGTACTTTTTCCAGATAAAATTAATTAAAATAATTATGAATAGACCCATACTGCATATTTATGAATAATATACTCAAGTAGGTAATTATTATTAGTTATGAATTAAAAAAAATACCTATAGTTAATTATTTTAAATAACTTGTAATCAGGAATATAGACTTTCATGACATGATTTTGTTATTAGAAAGATGTTTAAAATTTAATGTATAAATATTTTTATAAAGTTATGCTAAGATTTAACATTTAGTTTTATAGTTAGTAAGGAAAGTAAAAATTGAAAAAAAGATTTTATTTTGATTTGACATTGATAAAAGTTAATTACCATGTACAAAGATAAATGATGTACAACTAAAAAAAAATTATGTCAGAATTTGAGAAAAATAGCAAAATACTAAGTTGGTAAAATTGCAACATTGCAACATTGACAGGAAACAATATTACATCTAAATGCAACAGGAAATTAACTTCAAATAGTGGGTCTTCTTAAATGCTGCTTTAAACAAACAAAGTAGTTTTCATACAAGTTTTACAGAATGGAATAATTATATGCGTTGTCATTGCATATGCGTATCGTATATGCATAGTTCATCGTATATGCGTCATATAATTATTTCATTAGAAATGCCAATGATAACTCATCGCAACACCTATATTTATAGAATGGGCAGGACGAGACCCTTTTGTCGGTTACCATAAATTGCCAATTTACAATTCCGAAACAAAAACTCTGATGGAGGGATGAGGTTGATAATGTGTTAAAATCCTGTTTTCAATGTCATGCCTGAGTAATTGACACCATAATTTATTGCATCAGGAGCTTGGAAGGGGAACAAAAAACATAATTTTATAATAACATTTGTCAGGTTCCATTTGTTGCATAACTCATAGCTTTCAAAATTTTCTGTCAAAACTCTATTTTTAGTAAAAATTCTTAGTATGAGATCTAATCTTTACTGGGCATTTGAAACTAACATTTTCGCTATTTAATGTCCAATCACTATTACTCCAAATAGTAGTAATAATAGCTTATTAGATTTGAAACCAAGATATGTATCCTGTCCAAAAAGCAAAAAAAGGACCTCTAAGCATTTTCTTTTTGAATTTCTGAGATGTTTGGAACACTGTGAATTGCTTGGACAAAAATTATGATTGAGATGGGATTTACACTGAATCCGCTGTTTGTGTACCATGACATATACTGAATCAATGTGCAAAAGAAAAATTTTGCAATCGCAAAATGTAATACTAAGTACTAGTACTAGCAACGCTAGTGAAATGGTTCCTGGAAAATAAACTGATAAACACCACTAAAACTGTCTCCCTAAACTTTCGAAATACACTCTAAAGAAAAGCCTCCAGCACAATTGATGATAAAAAACATGCATGTAAAAATAGCCCAACAAACAACTTTTCTTGAATTGACTATTCAAGATGACCTAAAATGGAACTCCCATATCACAGATCTAAACAATAAGCTTATCAAGTCATGTTTTGCCATATACATCCTTAAGTCTAATTCTAACTTAGATACACTGTGAATGGTGTACTTTGCAAATGTTCACTCGCACCTAAAATACGGAATAATATTTTAAGGAAATTCCCCAAAAAGTATTCACACTTTCATCATTCAAAAACGAATATTAAGAACAATGACTAACATGACTAACACAAACATGAGTCAAACCTCTGTTCCAAAAATTACACTCCCATGTATGTATATATTCGATATATTAATCTTCACAAAAAATACACTAATGGGAAACAAGGATTCTGTTATTCTGAACACAGAAGTTCATAACTATGATACCAGACAAAAAAGAAATCTGCATGTTCCACACAGTGAAACATCACTCTTTCAAAAAAGTACCCTTATAGAAGGCATTATACTATATAACAAACTTCCTAGTGAAATGAAAAACTTAAACTCGTTACACACATTCAAAAATAAACTGAAAGTTTTCCTGTAAAAACCACACATTCTACAGTACAAAAGAATATATGCATCATAAACACATATCTACATCAATATAAACTAGTAATAATAATTTTTACATTTTCTGTTGCATGTTTTCAAAACCCCCTAAACTGATTCTTGAATATAAAGGACTGACCCAGCCTAGGCAGGAATCTATGAAGAATTTGTTTTTGTATTATGATTGATTTTTAACTGAAGTCTTCTTATACTACCATTATGAAATTAATATTAATTTATATTTTAGTTTTTCATAATATTGAATTTAATACAAGAATTGAATTTTAAATTTAATTTGTTTTGTATTTAATTTTTAAAAATATCTGTATTGTGTATTGTATGATTATATTCATATCCTGACTTGTCATACATGGCGTACGCTGTATTTATGTAACAAGTATATTATTATTATTATAATACCATTAATAATTCTCATATGAACATAAATCATGAAATTGAAATAATTTTATTTCTACCTTGAATTTGTTTCTGGAACGAATTAATTGAATATTTTTGCATTACAATTGTCATAACTCACAAACTAGACAAAAAATGTTAGAAATCTAAAATGCATACATAAAAGATACAATCAAAAGTATGGTAACAGATTAAGAATATTGATCATAATGAACATTATTTATAATTTTAATGAAAATTATATAACTCTTGAAAACATTTTTAAAATCATATTTGAAATATTAAATGGCATTACATTATGTTGTCTCAAACTAGGTCATCAGTACAATACCAGTTTCATAAAATATCTTTAAAGTAACAATTAAAACATAATATACTTTTTATTATAGTCTCATTGTAATTTATATTTAGGAACCAAAAGCATGAATTATTGAACATTGAATTATTAAGTTAACTTATCAAAGTGGCTTAAGTTTATACATTGCCAGGCTTGGTAGGATGATCTTAGAATTACTATGAAAATTTTATTGGGAGCATTGATATGAGTCTCTTTTAAAGTAGCCTTTATTGCATTGATTTTTCTTAACCTGATGGAAATGATAACTTTTGTTTACAATTGTAATAAGAGGTAGGTAAATAAGCATTTATATTGGACAAATGGAGAATAAATTCTCAGCAGGCATGGACAACATTCCAGATTTTCTTATTAAACACA